CCTCTTTCTCCCGATGATGGTGATTACTGCTGGTTGTTGTCGCTGTTGCTGTTGGTCGACAGGATACCTTCATCACCCCATCCTTCTACGTTCACGTGCTTCTTCAGCCAGTATGCTGGTTTTCAACTGAAAGTCTTCGAGTTTGTGTGACATTAAACATAAATCATCCATACGCGAAATCCAGATCTGTTAATTCTAAATTCTTGTAGAAACATTAAAACCTAAAGCTATCATGATTAGTACAAAAATGTAAAGTCAGTAAAAATAGGATTACACCGATCAGTCAGTAGCCTAAATCAGTATAATACTTCACTAATTGATAACTTAGAACAGGAATTTCGGATGTGAAATTATGGCAGTGTAAATAGGGATTAAGAAAAACTTAAAAATAACATTAATAAACAGGAAGTTTAGATAAGAAAGGCGATGGGATGGTCATTACTAAAATATTGCGTGTTTATGATGGCCATGGCAGGAGCGGGGATTGGACGTATTTCTTTGGGATACAAAGCGTGGGTTTGAGCTTTTGGATAGGAAGTGCCTCGGCTATGCCCAGATGTCTTAATTTCACTCCCTTCGATAGGTTTGATTGGATCTTGTATATTACTTTGACGGATTTTTCGAAAGGCGCTGAATGTCCTGAATTAACCAGATGTTTGAACTGTATACACGTTTTTGGTCTCCTTTTACTAGCCAGGCCATATAATGTTCACGAGCGCGTTTTTCAAGTCGGCGCATGGTACTGCCGATGTACTTAGCTCTAAAAGAGCAAGTAAACTGGTATATGCACGTTGAGGTGGCCCAATGTGACAGTTTGTCTTTCGCGTTCTGGCTGAAAAGTTTCTTGCAGGAAAACGCCAGTCGTAGGCTCGCGGCGAAGTATGTTTTCCTCAGTGATTTGGAGGGCGTTCAAAGATTACTTCTGCTTAGACGCGCCGATGGTTGCTTAGCAGGATCACCTTCGGAATCGCTCCTTCCTGTGTTTGTGGAGGTGAGTTCTGAACAAGCCTCAACTTGGACGTAAAATTCCTGAAAAAGTAACTGTTGCAAATTAACTTCATCTTCACCAGTGACTGGCTACAGAACGAAGTTGACTGGAGTTCTGGTATGAAGTCATGACCATTGGGGGCAAACAAGGTATCGGGAGTCAGGATGAATACTCGCGCACCACACTGGGTGGTGGTCACCCTTAAATCACGGATTAGTATAAGTTAGAATTCATGGCCTGACGACTGAGTCAGATCCCAGTGGCCGAATGGTCTACACTCTTGCCTTGTAATTGAAAGACCCTGGGTTCGAACTGTGGCGGTGAGTTACTGATTAGCGCTGATGGATCTCAAGTTAGGAAGAAACAGCTGTGCAGTACCCTCTTTTGGTTTTCAATGATTCTTTAATCTTGATATCAATCTGTGGTCAACTATAAAACAGATCGAATCTCTACAAATTAACTCTTCAAATAACGAAAAGATATGTATACATCAGATTGGAAAATTAATTGGGAACCACTCCCTGGGGGATTATGGAAAACTTTTATCTTCCTTTTACAAGTTTATTTTTGTTTATGCTTAGTGAGAGTGACCTAATTTGCTTCCTTTTCAAATATCCATTTAATATTAGCAAATATTTCAAAATTTCTTTTAGTATTTTTTTTCAGATTCAAAGATAAATGGAGAGATATAAATATAGTAAATGGTTGAATGTGTAACACAAGCAAAAGTCTAATGTTTTTCTGCATTTACTTTATATGTTTTCATTTAAATCTCAGGTAAATACTTTTAATCCCACTTCTGCTGTTTATTTGCTCATACGATTTTATTGGTAGAGTTTTAGGCGCATATGAGGAATGTGTATTTATCAATTATTGTCTTCAATACAGTTTTTTATAGTTTTCTAATCACATCTCTTGTAATCTTACTAGAAACTTTTCAATGAAATTACTGGCAATAATAAACGATGCAATGTTTTCCCCTCTTATGATGTTAATGCTCTTAATCAGTCTTTTATACGCTCTCCTTCTACTATTACTGCTTCTAACATTACCTATCATGTAGCTGATAATTTCGAGGGCTTTAACACTCGATGTTTTAAAATGTCTTGAAATGCTTAAGCCCTCATGCAGTCTTGGCCCTTATGGTATACCTGCCTATGTTCTAAAACAATGTGCAGATGCTTTAAGTTCTCCACTAACTAACATCCTAAATGCTTCTTTCTTCAAAAACGTTGTACGTGTTGCATGGAAAGACATTAAAATAGTCCCTGTCCCTAAACCTGGCAATAGCAAGAACGTAAAGTTCAGACCCATTGCCACCACTTCCCCGTTTCTAAAGCTTATGGATAAACTAGTACTTCATAAACTTGACCCCTCCCTTAAAAACTTTGAAGACCCCAAAATATTTGCCTACAGACAGGGTAGGAGCACTTTAGACTCTGCATCCATCTTACACAACAGTATCGTCTCATCATTAGATAAAGGTGACAAATACGCCCGCTGCACGTTTCTCGACTTCACTTCTGCTTTCGACTTTGTACCTAGATGTCTCTTGCTAAATAAACTCTCTATGACACAAACTGAGTCCTGGTCTACTAACTGGTTGCATTCCTACTTCTCAAACAGAATGCAGTACACCGTATACAAAGGGAAATCCTCCTCTGATGTGCTCACTGAAGCCGGTGTCCCCCAAGGTGCTGAACTCTCCCCACTTCTCTTTTCTTTCTTTCTACATGACCTACGATCTTCAAATGACATTAGTTTTGTCAAATATGCTGACGACCTGACTGTATCCTTGCCTGTCGAATGTCAAAGTGAATGCTTTATACTAAACGGCTTTTTATCAGAAGTCAGCCAATGGTCCATGGAAAACGGTCTAACCTTAAATCCCTCAAAATGCCAAACAGTTAATTTCACCTTTAGGCGAAAATCTCACCTAAACAAACTGGTTAGCACTCACGAGGTGAGCAACATTGATGGCACTGAAATAGAAACCAAGTCGAAAATTGAATATCTTGGCGTCATTCTATCTGCTGATCTTTCCTGGTCGTCTCATGTCTTGATGACTTCTAAGAAAATATTCCGTATTACCTTCTACATCAAGAAGTTAGGACATTCTAGTATAACCCAACCCTTACTACTACAATTCGTCAGCTCCCGTATTCTACCTACTATTCTCTATTTTTCCCCCTTAGTTTTTCCTGGGCTACTGAAGAAAGACTATACCTTTTTACACAGGATGTTAAAGGTTAATAGCAGGGTAAGCTACGTGCCACTTAACCAGTTTGTTAATATTCTGGTTGACAGGCACATGGACTCATGTAAAAAATGGGCTAAATCCATTTTATCTAACTCACGCCACCCTCCTCATTAACAACTCTCCCCTTGTATCTCTTCAGGCAGAACCAGAAGCCTACATAGAAAACTATATGCTCGCAATAGTAAGTACGAAAACTCAACTATACCCTACTTAGCTCGTGTTCTGTGCGATAAAGAAAGCACTAGGCGTGATACCTACAACTTATTAAATAGTCAGTAGAACAACTGGATCTCGTCTTTCCAACTCATATCATTTATAGGTGCAACGTTTTTCTTTCTTTTTTTTCCTTTTTTGTCTCTTTTTTCTGTTATGTGCAGCTTTGTTTCTTTCTTCTGCTTACGCCAGTAAATATGCTAGCATCTTTTTTTCTAACACCTTCAAAACACTCTGTTCAATTTCGACTTTGCTACTGACGTGCTAATATGTTGTTGTCACAAATAACTGAGATTACCTTAATCTATGTAGAATTTTCTTTATTGATAATGTACTAACTGGATGCAATACTGTGATAAAATGCTGAGAATTCCATTCTGTATTCGTCAATACTGTTTTGGAATAAAGCTTAATATGATTATTATTATAAGATGTAGTAGGATACTGTCAGCCGATGACATAGATAAAACACCAATTCACCTATTGAATAGTGGACTCTGCAGTTCATGACTTCTCATAAAAACTCCCGATTATCGATCTGACAGATGACGATGAGTCATTATTAATTAGACAGTATTTGTCTTCAGATTATTAGATCACCACCATTAGACGTGGAAACGAAGATAACAATGGCTGAATAAAATCCTTAATGCGAAAGATAGATAGATAGATAGATAGATTGATAGATAGATAGATAGATAGATAGATAGATAGATAGATAGATAGATAGATAGATAGATAGATAGATAGATAGATAGATAGATAGATAGATAGATAGATAGATAGATAGATAGATAGATAGATAGATAGATAGATAGATAGATAGATAGATAGATAGATAGATAGATAGATAGATAGATAGATAGATAGATAGATAGATAGATAGATAGATAGATAGATAGATAGATAGATAGATAGATAGATAGATAGATAGATAGATAGATAGATAGATAGATAGATAGATAGATAGATAGATAGATAGATAGATAGATAGATAGATAGATAGATAGATAGATAGATAGATAGATAGATAGATAGATAGATAGATAGATAGATAGATAGATAGATAGATAGATAGATAGATAGATAGATAGATAGATAGATAGATAGATAGATAGATAGATAGATAGATAATTTTTGCACAGAATCTTATCTTAGAATTCACTTACGCAGAGAATATGAAATTCCTGTCTACCACCCAACAACAGAAAACCATTGAATTTGTAAACAAATGAATCACTAATTTGTATGACCCTTTTCACGTTGCCACGTATTATGTTACTTTTGTGTACTTTTACTGTACGGTTGACCAGATAAAGACTTTTTATTTATAATAGTCATGCTCTTATTAAACTTTTATTGTGGTGAATTGTCTTTATGGTATTTATTATAAATAGTATTGATACTAATAATGACGCTTTCGAATAAATATATAAATAAATATAGTTATGTTGACTATCTGTTTCATGGTAATCGATGCCAAAAGCCAGCAGACGCATGCCTCTTTTCATTGAAAAGTTGTCTGTAGGATAATGTGATGACATTATTCTTATTGAATGCTGAGGTAAGCCTATGAACAGTCTAAACCCCCTACTATTACATACTATGCTAGTAAGTCATAATAATCATTTTTATTCCCTTGGTTTCTGAGTAGTACTTACAGCTTCACAGCATCCTTCTATTTTTCACCATAATATGTGCATCCTATTTTTACCTGGCTCCAAGACTGCCCATAAGCTTTTATCACTTTCATATCACCTATGGATGGCTAACTTAAATCTCCCCAATCGGGATACGTTTGAGGGCCTAGAGTGTGGCATTACACAGCGGTTTCCTCCTCACAGTATGACCGATCCCTATCTCCATTTGTTTTAGAATGTTTGTCGGGTGATTGGCTCTTGATTGGTTCGTTCCCAACCAGACTTTCTTGTTGCTGATTCTTTCTGACCAACCATCTGATCTTCATTATGAAGCAAGCGAAGAGGACAGCTGTTGATAAAAGTTTGTACATTGTTAGGAATCCTTTCGCGACACGTTGGACAAGTTTCTGATCCGTTCAGAAGGACCAACTTCATATTTCTGTTGAAAATGAGAATGTTACTCCTATTGCTCAGTGTAGAAGTTTTCCAAACTGTTTTCGGATTGTTGAAGGCGTATTTTGCCATTCCGATTCTGACTGGCAAGCTTCAACATTTCCATCTATGCCGTGTGCCTATTGTTGGAACCGTGATTCCTAGTCGTATAAATGAAGGAAGTAACCTCTTGCAGCCTCTTTCTGCGGACAATGGTGATTGGCGTTAGTTGTTGCTGTTGCTGTTGGTCGGTATGATACCTTCATTACCTCCATCCTTCTATGTCCACGTGGAGTCCTGTCTTCACTGCCTGCCTCTTCAGTTAATTTGTTCGTTTTCATTGATATAAGAATAGAACTTGTGCGCTGTGGCAGAGTATAATTCCATCATGGGTAAAATTTATTTTGATAAAGTCTCACAGTGTTATATTTTTTTATTTTCATTTTTTTATTACAGCTTGATTCCACAGTCTATGTTTGGTACAAGTATGGGATTTTCAGCATGTGATATTGGTATCTTTAATTTTGCAGGCCGACCATTGATATCAGGTGTGCGTCGGCAGTGGTCGAACCCCGAACCATGAGCATCGTCGGTGAGAGTCCTAACCTCTGTGCCACCGACGCACAGTAATGCTTACCGATGACGTTTCAAGCAAAATTTGTTGCAGCTCATAATTATATGAAGGTTCTTACACAACTTTCCAACTTCGTTTATATCATTCCATTATTTTACATCGCTTGATTTAATTGGTGGTAGTATTTTCCAAATGTCTTGTATTTGCACTGAGTCATTTCTATTGCATGTGATGAACCATGATTCAGTAATCAATTTCTCTCGCTCTACACCCACCTCTATTACTTTTGAGAATTTCGACTCTGTCCCACCAACTCCACTGTGTGGTTGTGTGATGATGCATGCAGTGCGATTGCCGAGTTTTTCTCAAAATTACTCATCTTCGCGGGAGGTGTCAACCATTCTAACCTTAGCAAAATTCTTATGTTCTGATAATCTCACTACTCCTGATTTACTAGTTTGACCTATTTATTTGACTTAACTCACAGTCATTCCATAGTATTTTGTAAATTAAATTTTTTTGTCTAATTAGGTCTACCCACTGGAACTTTAGCCTACAGAGGTTGTCGCTGACTGAATGAGGTAGTAGATTTAAATGTGACCCTAATTCCTGATATTTTTCCTACATAGGGCCTCAGATATCCCCTCCTTATATGGCAAAACTACTGCAGATGGCTTATATTCTCTTATATTTATGCTATTACCATTAGTCCCCCCCATTATTTTTATTCTGCTTTTCGCCATTTTTGGTCTGCCTCATGAGTTTAACAGGTAGTTACTTAACACCAACGCTTCTTCTATCTGTTTTATTTCATTATTTAGGTCTTTTCTTGTACTACTTAGTGACACTGCTCTGTTTGTTAGACAACTAACTAAGCCTGCCTTAAGAGACAGTGAATGAGATGAGTTAAAGTCTAAATACTTATTAGAATGAGTTGGTTTTTTTATAAACACTAGTGTTCAGTCTACCTTCTCCTATTCGTTTTATTCTACAATCTAACATGGCTATTTCTCCTTTTTCATTTTCGGATTCAAATGTGAATTTTATTCCCTCCTATAGTGAGTCTATGTGTGTCGAAAAGCTAGAGATATGTTCTGTTTTAACCCTGTTGGTTTTCTGATTGGACACTAGTGACTAGTGTGACGTTTCTAGTGTGCCTTCAACCATCTAATACCATCAAATCAATGTGCATGATGAGGTCCAGCTACCTAGAATGATGGCCACATTGCAAACTTGACTGATAGAATTCAGTCTGCACCAAATAAAGGACTAGAAAAGTCACACAAGTTACTAGTGTCCAATCAAAACACCCACTACAGTCCTACAAGAGGTCAATCGCGAGCCTGAATAGCTCAGTGGTAAAGTCGCTGACTGCAGAACTCACTGGGTGGCGTCGGTTCTAATCTCAGAAGGGACATAAGTTCTTTCAAGGTTGCAGATACGCCTTGCTGATGAGTGCCAAATAGCACGAAACCTAGGTCCAAGGCTTCCTGGGGCCGATTGCCTCCAACCATCTAATATCACAGTTAGTTTTCGCCTGATATTTTTCAAATCACCCATACGCGAAATCCAAATCTTCTCCCTATCGCTTTAACGTATTCCTGTCTTCCCACTCACAGTGTGACACATAATTCAATCCAATATAATAGGAAATTTAACTTGAGGTCTTAGTAAGATCCATTTTATAGTTCATACTGTGAATAATGACTAGCGCAAAATGTTTATTACTTCATTATTTAATCAATGTAATTTTAAACTCATTGCAGATACATTTTGGTTCATGAATAATAATCCTCACCCAGACATAAATGAAAATAAAATACATAGTTCAGCGAAGATAATCTTTTCTGCAAATTCATTTTTCTTTAGCTTTACTTGTTCCAAAAATAAACCTCAGCTGAACCTGCATTTCAAGGCAAACTCAACCTGCTATATCCTTAAGAGAAGAATTTCAGCATCTTTGAGAAAAACACTCTTCACTGGAACGTCAAGAATAGTGTTCTTCACTACTCCATCTGTCTGCAGAAGCCTTGATTAAAAGACCTGACCACGTTTATATGCATATATCAGTTCACCTTTTTCTGTGAAGCCAGACACATTGCTCATTCGAAGCATATTCAAGAACACTATTCTGCATGTTCAATAAAAATAATAATAACAATAACTTTATTCTAAAGACTACTATTGGTATAAATATGAAATTTTCAGCATGTAATACAGTATTGCATCTAACTTTGTCATTACAGGGGTTATCATTAAAACAGGACATTGACACTGATAATATTGTTCGGTAAGAATGTTAATATGAAATTAAATTAAGTGAAAATACTAACAACAACGTAAAAATGAAAAAAGGGATGGGGCCGTTTACTTAGCGTTCCTCAGTAATTCGGTAATTTCCTGTCTTACACTTTTCTCATCTAATAAAATGTGTCCCGGCCAAATAGGGTATTGTAGAGTTTTGCACTTAGTTACCACAGCATACAGTCTTCTATAGTTGCTTCTAGTTCCCCTACTTGATGATATGCAAGAAGAGGGTTGTGTATAGAGAGGCTGGTTAGACTCTGACAAGATAATGTTTGTTAATTTCTTGCTGGAATCCATATATCTACCTACAGTAGTATTAACGAGTTGGCTTAGCAACACGCCGCTCATCCTACTGACAGCGTTTGGCGCCCTTCACAGTGTAACAAAGTCTTTCTTAAGTAGTCCCGGAAAGATTAAGAGGAGGCAGTAAAGGGTTACTGACAGGATACAAGAATTAAAAAGCTGTCACACTAGAGACGGAATGATACCAGACCACTTTAACTTCCTTACATAGAACTTCAAACTATCTTTCTGGGAACAAACAGAATTTAGGAAGACCAGGAAAGGTGATCAGAGGAAATACACAGTCAAAGGTATTTAACATTCGACTTAGTTTGAACTTCAGTGCCATCTATGATGGTGGAACCGTGCTAACTAACCAGTTCATGTAAGTCACGCTTGCATCTGAGAGTGAAATTAACCACCTGACATTTGAAGGGATTAAATTTAAGACCATTTGATGAGAACCATTGACTAATTTCTGATAAAAAGTTATTCATTTTGGAACAGTTTGACTGAGAGGTAACCGCAGGGCATAGAAACAGTCAGATGGTCATCGGCATACTTAACAAATCTGGCTACATCAGAATGAGGTCATTCATATAAGAAGAAGGAAAAGAGAAAAGGAGAATGGACAGCTCCCTGGGAAACACCAACTAGAATAAGTAAAAGAGCGGAGGACTTCCCTTTGTAAACAGTGCATTACCTCCTACCAGAAAGATAGGAATGCAATCACCTATTCATCCAGCACTGTGCTTGTGTCACAGCAAGGTTGTTTAACAAAAGAGGACTAGGTACAGAGTTAAAGGCAGATGTGTAACCTTGGATCGCGCACTGAACATATTTAACACCTCTGTCTAAGCTAGAGACAATATTATGATATAAGACGACAGTGGCCTCTAGAGTACACCTACTATGTTTATAAGCAAATTGATTAGGTCATTAAAAGCCTTCCGTGAAGGTTTAAGGTTAATTAAAATCCGTTTTTCCATTAATTTTTAAAAAGGTGAAGTAATACCCATAGGTCTAAACTCAACGCTTGGTCCACTGGATGAGTTAGGCATAGGAACAATTTCGCTGTCCTTTCAAGAAGCAGGCACGGTGTCAATGGAAAATGATTTATTAAATATGCCAGTGATTGGATAACATAAAATGTCAGCGCATGTATTGCGGATAATAGCCGGCACACCATCTGGACCAAGAGATTGGATAGGTTTCGAGAATTTGGTCCACTTGAGGACGTCCCTTTTACTAAAGCCGGAAAAGCAGTCATTATGTACATTTGTAGCATTAGAAATCATAACATCTACTGAAACATATTTGAAGGACCTATTAGGCGTACCACCTTCAACTGAAGAAGGACCATTATTCATTTTGTATAACGTTTCTTTTTCTCAGCGAAAGCTTTTTAACTGAGAAGAGGGGGAGCAGTCACAAACGTCAAGACGGAATCTGAGGCAAGATGTTACGTTTGTGATTGCGCTCATAATCGCTGGAAAGCAGCAAGCCGACACTCAGAATGGTGCTTTTTCTTGGGTTTTGAGGGAATCTACGAATCCGTAGTAATTAGGCATTTTAAATATTCGCGAGTGTAAACAATTTGATTAAAGGTCATATTTTAGCAGGTTAATAAGTCAAAACTAATTGAACAAGAGAAATTTAGGTGTAATATTATGATGTGCGTTGGTGGCACAGTGGTTAGGACTCTCGCCGACCATGTACATGGTCCGAGGTTCAATCGCTTGCCGACGCACACCTGATATCTATGGTCGGCCTGCAAAATTTGGGCTACCGATATCTATGCTGAAAATTCCATACTTGTACCAAAAATAGACTGTGAAATCAAGCTGTAATCAAAAAATAAATGAATAAAATACTGGTAGCCCAAGATTTAAGCAGGCTGTCACAGAAAACTAGTAGTAATCCTATAATGAGTGCAATAATCGAGCACCCTGTGAACACTGGTCATTTCATCTCAACAAAGTAATCTACGAAGTGAAGAATAACCTGCGAGAGGCAATACTCTTTCGTCCGTTTACTTTTCTGAAACTGGAGCTACGCATATAAAAGGAAACTATTCAACCACATCTAATATCATAGTAACAACATTACTGATTTCTACCGACTTGATTTAGTTTATTTCTTTGTTTTTCTAACTCCTTATAAATCTTGTATTTCTCTAGAACTCTTATGTAGCTGCATATTTTCCTTCATTTTTGTGTGCATCATGATTATAGCTTATTCAATAAATCATTGACTTTATTATGCAACTCCAATACACTTATTCAACTCCTTTCATTTTTTTTACCTTCACGTTCCCAGTGGAACATAGGGCTTCAAGCAAGAGACTTGACGTTTCTGTAACAGTGTTGATTTTTATAGGCTGGGGTTGCAAGCCTCATGCCCAACCTTTCCGCTTTACCGGTCTCACTGCTGGCTTAGAGAGGTAAAGGAGTGCGTCGATCGGGATCGAACCCCGGTCCATGTACATGGTCGATGAGCATCCTAACCGCTGTGCCACCGACGCGTCAACTCCTTTCATGAGTCAACTAATATTAAAAACCATCCAAGTATTGGTTTTTATGGATTCGGTTGGATAGCTACAGGATTTCATCATGAGCTGACATTGGTTAGAGAACCATTGAAAAACTAGCTGAGGGTACTGAATAGCTGTTTCGTCCTAATTCGGAACTCTTCATCAGTACGCACTCGCAGGAGTTCGAGCCCGGGACCTTCTGGTAGCGAGCTCGAAGACCAGTAAGCCACTGGGACCCGATCCAATGGCCCATGAATTCTAACTTGCCAATTCACGATATAGCGCAATCGTTAGTCTACATCTACGAGTCTACGAGCTCGCCTTGTAACCAGAATGTCCCGGTTTCGAATCTCGGTGGGTGCGTACTCTGAAGAGTCCCAAACTAAGAAGAAACAGCTTCTGAGCACTCCCAGATTCTCTAACTAATGTCAGCTCATGATGAAATCATGTAACCAATTAAAAACAATGTTTTTGACAACTCATAACTCTTGTCGCTATCCTCCTTCATGAATAAAATTGTGTCAATGCGACTGTACAGCTGAAGAAGAAGAAGGTGAATTCCCTGAATAGATCCTCTTTACTGAACTAAGTGTTTTGTTCTCAGTGGTTATTTTTCACCTGTTTCTGACCTTGTTCACCTTCAGGATCATTATAATGCTCAAAATTATAATGGAAATGCTTACTTAATGAAATGAATGATTACGCCTGAGTGAACATTCACTCGGAGAGAACTTTAGGCAACAAATCCACAATTAAGTCATACAACTGTCATTCATTCTGCAATTCTTAAAATAACTGAACTGTAATCTAATGAAATCTCAATTTTTAAACTTCTCACATCTGTTTATCATCCTACCTCATCTATCTGAAGTTAGCCTGTAAAGAATTTCCATTCCGTCATGAAGATTCGTTTCATCATTTCATCTATTATTCGCATACACCCTTATGTATTTATGCGTGTATGTATTCAGCTGAAGGGTTCCACTGATGTCTTATGAATTCAATAAATCCTACCATATATATATTAACAACTATCTCAATTATTTTTAACGCTCAACTGCCTTCATTTTCTGTTATCCTTGAGAAATCTTTCGGATTACGTAGTCCCTTATCTCATCATTCGAAAAACAAACAGTTATTTAAAAAATGATTAACGGTTTCAAAGATAAAAATAAAAGAAATCTACTTAAGACAGAATTGAGTGGTTTTAGGCCGGAGAAGAATGATTTAAACGTCGAAATAAATCCTCCAGTTGATGCGAACGTCAATCAGAGTAGAACAAAAAGCAATCAATAATTATTCACATATTGATTAGTTACAATAAGGCATCCTGTGATGAGCTAATTAGTTGAGAAACGTTTCTTCTTCTTGATGCCTCAGTTGAGCAGTAAAACAAACATTTGCCACAATTAACGCAGAAATAAATTTTAAAGTTCCCATGTCTATGAAGGAAGATAAGGCTTGGAATCAACACGTGTTTAAAAATAATTTTGATTAAATCCTCCATGCAATCAAACAAAATCCCTACAAAAAGGAATACTTAAAAATAATTTTGTCAGATTCTTGTCGATGGAAGATTGGTAAGCCACATTTCTGCCAACCACTGAATCACCGACCTCAACAGGCCTGATAATGCACGCAAACAATTCAAAACTGATCACGAATCGACTTCAGTTGG